TGAGAAATGTGCAAATATATCATGAGATAAGTTTCAAAAAATTAATTTAGATAAATTTTAGATTCCACAATTCTTAGAATTTCAAGCTTATTGTTTATCGGATATTAGCTTATTGCGTGCTCTTCACTTAGTATTCTAGATGCACTACCACCATTTTTGCATTAGTATAATTGTGTATACTCTATGCCCAGGGAAGTTGAGAAATTTTACAACCCGAAAAAATCCTAATCCGGACCGGGAATCGAACCCAGCCACCTCCAGGATGGTCTTGCTTTATAGCTGCGCCTTTACCGACTGAGCTAAAGGAGATTCCAGATTCCACAGATTCCATACACAGACATTTAAGATCCAGGATTAACCAAAATTGTCAAGACTCTGAGACTTGAGTTGAGAACAAGTTTCAAGATACGGATCTTAAACAAATTTTCAAGCTTATGGGTTTCGTTCCAAAATTGCAAGAGAAATATTTGAGATATCATTTACATTTGAATCTGGTCGAGTTTCAGTTTTCCAAACTCGATCTTATCACGCACCCTGAGCACTGATAGCACTTGTTGGAAAAGGAGGCCAGCTTGCCGAAAGTATTGTTAGCTTGATCAGCCATACTTCTCTCGTCGCTTTTGAACAGATCCCAGTAATGAGCAAATCAGTAATCGAACATGGTGCCTTTCTCTGGACCGTAGGGGGTGAATTCGCTGATGTTCGTTGAAAGCAACTGGTGCTGGAGCGGCCAAACATTAGAGAAGATCCGCAATCCGCAGAATCGCTTTTGGAAATTCCATCGAGTTCGTTGCCTTGTTTTCCAAACGATACCGCTAAAACGATCCACACCTTTGAGTCACTTTTAGGAATAGTTGACATAAATGCGAATGATGATACCTTGCCAGTTTTCGCCTTGAAATTCGTTCCCTACCAGCAGTGACTTTTTTCGTCGTCACTATCATACGCCGGATGAACTGCCCTTGTCGCTTTTGTACTGAAATCAGCAGCAGATTTCAATTCATTAGGTCCATGGTGAACTCCAGGTCGGAACGACTCGCAAACGCAGTAATGGGGATATGGCGTGAGTCAGGAATACTCTTCAATATCATCGTCACATAAAGATTGGCGAACGCTTTCGAATAGATGACTTTTCTATATCCCCGTCGCCGAAATTTTCCACTTTGCACAGATTCTTCTGATTGTCGTCATCTGGAGATGTTTCTTCAATTCTTCCCAGATCTTCCTGGCGATCTTGCAGTTCCGAATCATGTGCCTATGATTCTACTTCTCATCGTGTATTGCGTGACAATTGTCACCGTCGCCGGGTTTTAATTGAACTGCCTAACAAGTAGTGTGTTGTGATGTAAATAGTTTGCTGGCCTTAGAGATACCGTTTTTGCCAAATGATCAGAAGATCGTGGGTTCACATAAAGTAGTCTTTGTATCCAGCATCCCAGTGATTTCTCGTAGAGGTGCAAAGGATTTCTTCGCTTCCAAGAAAGCGAGCCTGAACACTTTCCTACTCCTAATGTACCGGGATTTGGACGCGACTGGCGTTGGTATTGCCTATTACAAAGTATGATCAAGTGTGCAAGTCAACTGGAAGCGATCCTCGTATGTGAAGTGATTGTATGAAGTATATCAAAGTTTTCTTGAATTAAATCAAACAATTTCTTGATTAAATCTCTTACTCTTTACAATTCAGTCTAATGACCCATCCAGCTCAATAGTGTTCGGCTTAGTGACCATACACATATTCCATGACTCAGTTGTACAGTAAGTTTAGGTCTCATGATTAGCAAATTGATTTTTCTTAGTACCTATCTCGAAAGTATCATTTACTTCTCGATAATCAATATTTTTAACGACACTAGGTCGAGCGCTATTGACTTCTAATATAGAAATTGTTTATAGAATCTTAACTTGATACAAATGAGATCTAGGGAAACTTGTTGGAGATAATAAGAAAATGTTTAAACACAATGTGATAAAGAAAATTTCCAAGATTCTGAAGCTTTGAGATTTGTTAGGAGCATTAGACTGTGGAATTTTTGTTTACTTTATTATTTATTTATTGAAAGTTAAAGAACTTAGATTTATAAAAACACAAAATTCGTTTAAAATTTGGAATTGCGAAAAAAATACTCAAAATGTGGAGTATTGAACAATTTACAAGATCACAGATTAAGAAAAGATCGTTGTTTTGGTAGTGGAAAGTTTTCAAAACTCTGCAATTTAGAAGAATGGTCAGGGCTCTAACTATAAAAAACAATCTTTATAATTCTGAGGAGGATACCTAAGGATTTTTCAGGAGCAGTTAATAGGCATTAAAGTGTGAATTCAAGAGAAATTATGAGAAGAATAAACACAAAATTCTGGTAAGTTCAGACGACCAGGATTCCAAGATAATTTTGAGATGATGTTCTGATGAATTCTGAGACGAAATACAATGAACTGAAGCGGAGAAGAGAGAAAGTTCTGAATTTAATTCATAGGTACCTAATTATTAGAATAATTCCATGGACGTTATGACATGAATATTAAGGAGCATTCCAAAGTGATCCTGAGTAGACTTTTATGAGGATTGTGAGGAGAACAGCAAGTGAATTTTAAGAATAATTCCAAGAGAATTTTGACGAGAATTTAAAGATAATTATTAACAAAATTTATAGGGTGTTGTGAGAATTATTTCAGGAAGATTCCTGAAGAGAGATTTGTAGTCTAGCCAAGTCTATTATACAATACTAGGATTTCCGAGGAGAGTTTTGATTAAAATTTTAGGAATATTTTCAAAGGAATTGAATTCTCAGGATAATATGAAAGGAATTCTAAGGAGGATTGTGAGCAAATTCATAGGGGAATTTCAAGGGAATTCCGAGATACTAGAAAAGCGTCAAATATATTTTCTCGAGGAGCATATCATTATTATTCTGATCAGAATTCCGAGGTAATTAAGGGAAAAATGCGCTAAAGCACTAAATTATTCCAAAGTTAAAAAATCCGGTCATTAATCGCCGAAACAACGTTTAAATTGATCACAAAAATAGCTTTGAAATTCCAAAATGATTTCGAAACGCCAACATATTCCAGAAAGTATTATTCTGTTCAAAGTAGGTGTCAGTAGGGAAAATGACGGCTTCGGCATGCCAGACTATTTTCGGCAACCCAAATTGAAACATTATTTTCACTGGATTTTCTTACAAAAACACTTCGCTGAATGCATGCAAACGATTCTTTATGCTTTCAGCTTCAATTTGACTATATTTTTCCCACTGAGAAAAAGCAATCTAGCAGGGTTTTCTTGAAATGAAACACACGCACTACAAATTGTAGCTGATTTCGAGTTGCCGATAATAGAACAGCAGATTTACAGGCAGGTCAAATGGAACGGTTGCCGAAGAAAAACTGGTTGCCGACAATACTCGCTCTCACTAGAGAAGATTGGACCTTTGTAAAAGCGTTTCAAAACAGTTTTTGACAATTCTTTCGACTGAAATTGTTAGAGCAGCTGGCAGCAAAAGATTGTAAACAAACCAATACTGCATATGTGTGCGTTCCTTAAAGAAAAAGGCTATAGAAAGAACGTCGCTGCTTAGGTTGCCGAGAATACGTAAATTCCCCTATATGAAAATTTCAATTCATCCATCAATTTGTTTGCACATTTCTTTTAATTTTCTTAAAAATAAAAAAATGTAACTAGCAAAACTAAACCTGTTACGGAAGATCAATGTTAATTACCAATCTAAGCATAAATTTAAAATCAGATTTTTTGGGAAATTTAAATTTAATATGGCCAAGTTTAATAAATTTCTATGACCTACCAGATAGGTCATGACCTATAGATAGAGAAACGCTGCACTAGTCTATTTACTGAAGTGATAAATACGTGAAATCAAATCAATGGGATTATTTTGAATCTGATGCACTACCCATAATCACATATCAGTCCCATCTTTGCTTGACTTCCTATCCATATGGGATTGATATGCGATTATAGGCAGTGCAGACCAATTAGTACGAGAGTGTATTCTGATTACAACAGGTAGTAAATTAACTATTTAGCCAACAAACACAAGTTTAATCAAACCTTGCAGGGAGGAAATCTGCAAACCCATCCACCAGGCAACACTGCTTCAGGGCCAAAACAAAAACCGTACTCTAGTAATTATTCGTACGCCTACAGTATGGATATTATTATTCTACTTCAAATGAAAAGGGTGTATCAACATTGTAAACAAAACTTGTAATGCCCCTCTTGGTATTGGTCCAATGTGAGACGCAATAATATTACAATATCTTGGTTGGGTTCTCTGCGTAGTATAGTGGAAGAGATACGGTCGATGTCATCCGCTGCTGCTGATTCACTGCTGTTTGAAAACCCTTGTTCTGTTGCCTGCTGATTTGAAACGACATCAATCCAATACAATGCCCTAGTTCCAACACGTCGCACTGGCACAGAGGAAGTGGGCAACACAAAGCAGGATCACACTCCACCGACTCACTTCACACCAGAATAGAAAAATTAGCTTATCTGTTACGCGTTTTCTTCTTGCTGCGTTATTTACTTGGTCGTGTCCATTTTATGACCTGGATCAGATGGGACAGACACGAAACGGAAATTAACTACTATTGCTGGTCGCAACGTCACCAGATTGTATTCTTTCGGTTCTTCACCTTGCACGTATTATTCTGATAAGAGCACTAATAACTTTTGACTTGCTTCCTTTCTGGATTACGATGGCTTCACCGTAACCACCAGAACCAATAATACAGAATATAAAATGCACCAATACCATTATTTCACGACCGTGCTTTCATATTTCATTTTTCCTCCTCCCTCTTCAACAAAGGAATTTTACACAATCTCGTCATAATATGTACAGACGACGACATCGGAACGAGCGGACACTCGCTCGCAGCCAGAATCAGGAAAAACACTGCGCCGTTTTTGTGGTCACCAATTTCACCACCTTCCCGAGGGCCACGGAACCGAAATCCACCGTGAAAACCTTCCGTACCGTTTGAACTGCTTTTTGACGATATTTTCCAGCACTCGGACGACGATGGTTTCCAAAGGAAGAAAAATCTTTTCCCGTTGTTGCTGCTGCTGCTGCACTCAATAATACAGTTTTATTGCTTCTCTTCACTTTTTTTTCTGCTTGGCTAGTTTTACTCCGCACCGTTCACTCTTCACCACACAAAACTACTCACTGACACTGACTCGCGGATTCGTTCCGTTCGGATGCCTGATGACTTGACTGCTGATTGTGCCTTTATTTTCTTGTGGGAATCGGATTACCGATGAAGACAACGTCAATCGAAACCTCGTAAGACAACACAAACAATGCGAATGTGTATGTGTCATCGCTCAAGGGTTTTGCGTTGCAGGTTATACGCAATGATTCATCGAATGAACTGAGGGGAATAGATTTTGAAGCAGATCGCTTTGAAATTAGAGTACAATCATTTTTGAATCAGTCAATTCAATCAGCGAAAAAATTTCAATGCTCATAACCAGCTAAATCACTTCATATCCCTCAAAAAAGGTAAATACATTCCGTTCAAAAATCGTCTCACCTGTGATGCAGTATGTAAACTTTTACTTTTCACAAAACACATACACCCGTAATGTTAAAAGAGGAGCATCCCTTTTAAAAACAGCGTACGGGCATCTGTCACGGTGCTGCAAATGTCACACTCAGCGGTTATTCCGCGGATGGTGCACGCTATTTTAAAACAACCCTTATTTAGGTAGAATCAAGCTAGATCGGTTGAAACCAATCTTAAACGGTAAGGAAAAAGTCCCCCCAAAAGCACAGAGAACAGACGTCCAAGTTCTGTCAGAAACTTGCGTAAAGTTAAGTGGAAACGTCGCCTTTACATAGCGCTAGCATCTCCTGATTTCCTCTATAAATTTATCACTTTCGACCAATTTGGCGCTAGTATCGATAAATTATCTGTTAAAAATATTCTGTAAAAACTTGGGTAAAGATTCCTATTCAACTTAAGCGCTACTAACAGCGACTTCCCCACTTAAAAACTCTCTTTGACATCCTGAAGGCGCTGGCGTTGCACAAATTACACTAGACACTAAGTGCTGGTAGCGCCAAATGGCAATTTTCAACAGAAAATTTATCGATACTAGCGCCAAATTGGTCGAAAGTAGAAAATTTATAGAGAAAATCAAGAGATGCTAACACCACGTAACAGCGACGTTCCCACTTATTTAACACAAGTTTCTGACCGAACTTGAACCACAGAGAACAGACATGGAGGCTGGAACAAAATTTCTCTAAAACCTTGTGTAAGGATTCCTATTTGACTTCTGCGCCATTAACGGCGACTTCCCCACTTAAAAATCCTCTTTGACAACATGATGGCGCTGGCGTTGCACAAATTACACTAGACACTAAGTGCTAGTAGCGCCAAGTGGCAATTTTCAACAGAAAATTTATCGATACTAGCGCCAAATTGGTCGAAAGTGGAAAATTTAGAGAGAAAATCAGGAGATGCTAACACCACGTAACGGCGACGTTCCCACTTATTTTACACAAGTTTCTGACCGAGCTTGAACGTCTGTTCTCTGTGCTTGAACGTCTGTTCTCTGTGATGGAAGATACTTACCGACTTACCGACTTAGCGTTGACACCAACTTTCGTGCACTGAAAACGAAACCTCTCAGAGTTAGAGTCATTTTTACTCATTCGCAGTGATGGAAAAGTTCGCGAAAACTCACTATGACTTGGTGAACTTCGTGAAATTTCGCGAACTTTTCCAACACTGCTCATTCGTATGGATTAATTTCTAAAAGCGTATGTAACGTACGCTTTTAGAAATTTCTCATACGTATAAGTAAAAGTGACTCACTTTCTGAGCTAGTTTCGTTTTCAGTGTATACATTGCATAATTCAAGAGCAAATTTTCATTATGTCGTAAGTAACATTCGCACCGATCCGAGAAAAATAAAGTTTTGTTTGGATGACAGAAAATTTATTCCTATTTCCAATTAAACACATATAATCCCATAGTGATAGCAATGTTTAACATATTCAGCCGGGTTTTAATCATACAAAGGCAAATCGCTAGCTTTCATGCTAAGAAATACTGGTTTTTAAGTCAAAAGATATTATACGTCGTTTGGTGGCCCCTATTGTTACTTAAGTCAAAGTGTATTTACCAGGATATTCGGGAGAATTATCAATTACGTCTCCTTACGTGCAGCCCATTCATCATTTTAGGACCACCGAGATCATCTTAGCAACAAACAGTTCGATTTATTCACTTTAATAATGAGAAAGCGAAACGACGAAAGTACACTTTTCACGGGTTTCTCAGTGCTGTTACTTAAGGCAAACGGCATCTCCATAGAAATCGGGTGACTTAAGTAACATCGAAAACTATTTTGATCGGAAGGTGATTACGTCAAAAAGCAATTCGACTGGTAAATAAATTTAAAAATGGGATGTGATCCTATATTCGGACAGTATATAGTGTAATAGCAGGAGCATCGATTGACACTGATAGCTCGACTTTGTTTACCTTTGTTACATTCGACGTAATGAAAATTTGCTTTTGAATTACGATTTTGACCAAAGAGAACTGCGGAGCGTTGCAAAGAATGATGACAGTGTGATACTTTTTCCAACAGGTGGCAATACAGTGGGCAGAAATGTGCACGGCCGTTCAATCCCACTCAGAGTGAGAGTAACTTCTACACCGATGTAAAAAGTAGCTCACAGGCTGAATCAAGACTCTCAGTTTCTATTTTTTCCGTACAAAATATTACTCATTTTTGGCAAAAGTGGATTTACTCACTGCTTAGACAAGTTTACTCACTTTCTGTTATTACCATACAAATTTTTCTATTTTTTTTTTGAGAAAAAAATAGAAAGTGCACACTGAGAGACACAAAGAAGTTTAAGTTAAGTTAAGTTTTCTTTTTTCTGGAGTCTTTCAGCCTGAGGCTGGTTCGCCTCCGGCAGAGAAGTTTAGATTACTCCCTTAGTATGCTTAAAACACTCATGACATGAATTTTATGTTCCAGGCATTGTCAAATCTGTCCTTGGGAACAATCCTGAATGATGTTAAGGTCAAAGGATAGTTCACACCTACCACCCTTTGCGTTTGAATAATAATAAATTGAGTTTTCTTAAGAATTTTAAATTACATATTTTTCTACTCCCTGAGTCGGTTTAGAATTTTCATGGCATCAGTTTCATGTTTCAGAAATTGTCAAATGGGTCCTTCCGAATGATCCTAAATGATCAGGTCAAAGGATAGTTCAAAACTACTGCCCTTTGCGTTTGAGTTCATTGAAGTATTTTAGAGGGTATACGCACCAATAGTGGAGGGACGTTAGTGCAATGTGTTCCTATAGTGGCTTATGGAGACTCCATAAGCCGCTATAGAAACACATTGCACTAACGTACCTCCACTATTGGTGCGTTTACCCTACCAAAGAACTTAAATGTAGCGGTTTTGGCTTTCTTGCTTTGCTAATATATTCAGAATGAGGTACTGAGTTCAAACTAAAGGCAGCTACCTTAAATTTGTGAGCATTTTGATTTTTGGCAGGGTTTTTTTGCATTCTAATCTGCTAGACAGTGTCTATTCCCAGCGGTACGTTTATATAAGCCTGAATGTATGCAATATTGCATGTTCTTTTTGGAGTGTATGGCAAGCACAGAGAACAGACGTTCAAGCTCGGTCAGAAACTTGTGTAAAATAAGTGTGAACGTCGCCGTTACGTGGTGTTAGCATCTCCTGATTTTCTTTATAAATTTTCCACTTTCGACCAATTTGCCGCTAGTATCGATAAATTTTCTGTTGATAATTGCCACTTGGCGCTACTAGCACTTAGTGTCTAGTGTAATTTCTGCAATGCCAGCGCCATCATGTTGTCAAAGAGGGTTTTTAAGTGGGGAAGTCGCCGTTAGTGGCGCTTGAGTCGAATAGGAATCTTTACACAAGTTTTTAGAGAAATTTTGTTCGAGCCTCAATGTCTGTTCTCTGTGGTGCTAGTATCGATAAATTTTTTGTTGAAAATTGCCACTTGACGCTACTACCACTTAGTGTCTAGTGTAATTTGGGCAACGCTAGCGCCATCATGTTGTCAAAGAGGGGTTTTAAGTGGGGAAGTCGCCGTTAGTGGCGATTAAGTCGAATAGGAATCTTTACACAAGTTTTTACAGAAATTTTGTTCGAGCCTCCATGTCTGTTCTCTGTGTGGCAAGTTTGGCTATTAGCGAAGACAACAAATCAAGAAGACTGGCAACTCTTCCATTTTCCATAGGTTTGTGTATTTGCTCATTTTTCTATGCGTTGCTTCCACCTTCACTCAAGCGCAGCGCTATTGTATCTGTCGCTTGGATTCTGGCAAAGTTGCCAGTCTTCTTGATGCGATGTCTTCGCTATTAGGTACTACAGCGTAACGTCACAAATAAACTCAGTGTTAATCCCAGGACGGGACTTGACAATCGAGCTTCTCACTCTTCTTAATGTCTTTGAAGAATGCCCTTCGGAAAGTTGTGCGTGGTGCGGAGTTGACCAATGATCCAAAATATTTTTTTTTTCTATTTTAATTTGGATTTATTCGGAGCTTCTACCACAGTTTAGCAGCATCAGTTTTGGTCAACACGATAAAAACAACCATAAACAAACATTAATATCCATCGCTTAAAACTCGCGGTGCACCCATTTTTTAAACATTCCTTTCACAAATATAAACAGATTGATGCGATCCCTCTGTCCTTTTTATTTCACGATTGCTACTGTCAAATCGACCAATCAGAAACTGGCTCGGATTTGTCAGCAAATTGGCTCAAAATCGCTACCCGATGTCAAGGCTGGCGCACAATGCATAAGTTCCCGGGTTTTTTTGACAGATAACTGTGGGCTAACTGTCAAAAAACATGAAAACTTATCCATTGTGCGCCGGCCTTCAGTGTTAATCGGCCGAACCTTTTTGACAGTTTACTGGTACTGTTTACAATCAGTCACTTTTCGAAAACAAATATTTTAAAATTTCCAAATTTTAACTTGAAAATTGTCGAGGAAATGCGTGGGAAAGGTTGTTGCTCGTGGACATTGCAAAAGTGTGGTTTATATCTCACTGCAGTCTGAAAAATTATCGAGAAAATCTACCCAAGAAAAAATCGACTACACGAAACGAAAATCAATTATTTAATTCATGTGTTTCACTTATACATTTTT